GCAAGAGAGGCCCTGACCAAGTGTCCAGTCCAGCTTCACAGGCCCTGCCCTGGCTTCCTCCAGCCATGCCCCTCTCCATGGGGTGAGGAGTCCACAGGGCCAAGGGGCTGTGCCCACCTGGAGCCAGCATCCCCCTCTACTGCGTGCTGGGCATACCTGGGATCCTGGAATTTCCTGCCCTGGTGGCCCTGAGCCCTCTTCCAGGATCTGCACGGGTTCCTTCCCAAAATCCATCCTTCCCAGGGGCCCGAGGTGTATGCACCTCTGGGCCCACAGCTGTTTGGGGTGGGGTGTGTATGTGGAGGACAGGCATTAAGGCTGGGCATCCTCATGCATCTGCATGAAGCCCTTGCTGTGCAGGCTGGAGCTGGTGGTGGGAAAGGAATGGGGGGAATGGGCCATGGGTAAGGGCCAAAGGCTGGCCTCTCCCCATCCAGGATGTTCCACGTTGAACTCCAAGAAGTCCAGGAACTCCAAATTCCAACCTGGCTTTCCATGTTGTTATGATAGAATATTTGTCAAGGTTGGAGGATAAAATATTTTATTTAAAAGTTTATTAAACTTGATTTTTTAGCTCCTAAGTATTTAGACATATGTAGGTGGACCTCCATCTCTTGCCCCAAGGCCTTGCAATTGTTAGGGATTGGCCTGGTTTTCAAATCCCCTTTTATCTCCCCACAGGCACAACCTCATGTAGCTGCAGTAGTAATCCCATGAGCTGGGTACGATCATTTTCACTTACAAATGAAGGCTCTGGGGCTCAGGGAGGCCATGACACTTGCCTGGGTTTGCATAGGTGGGAAGGAGGCAGAACTTGGACATGAAACCAAATCCTCCAACCCCACATCTGGCTCTTCCTACTCCCCTGATCCCCTGCCTGCTGTGGGGACCCTTTCCCCTTTAGGAGGTGGTACCTTCCTCCCCTGTGTGCCTTGCCAGGTGGTCAGCCAGGTGGGAGGGGGCACATGATAGGACAGACTAACCCCAGCAGAGGGGACTCTAAACTGGAGCAACCAAGAAGGGCGCCTACTTAGAAGAAAGAAAAATGAGAACCTGTTGCTTGTCAGATTGGCGGTTCCTGACAGCTCCTATTTCAAAACCATAACCTCATCAGGCCCCCCTTCCCAAAGCTCCCCTCTCCCAACAAACAGAGTTTCCATGCTAGAGAAGGGAAGAAATGCGGCTCTAATCCCCTTTGTTCCATGATTTCATCTCCTTCGCTCTCTTCCCAGGGGACTCCGGGCAATCAGTTGGAGGAGGGATGGTGGGGCAGGTAGGGGGGCCCACACACTCTTTTCACGGTCTGGGGGGGTCATCAGGCGCTTTGGACTGGGGGTGAAGGTGTGGGGGCGTGGGGGTGGTGGGAGCAGGAAGGGATAATCCATTCCCTCTCCAGCAGCCAACAGCGCTGGAAACCTGGGAGGCTTCCACGAGGCCCCTCCCCTTCCCTCCTCCCTGGCCCACACGCCACTGATTTCTCCTCCTTGACTCTGTCCCCAGTGATCCTCGTGTAGTCCTCAGCGTCTCCCACTGGATTTTGCAACAGCTGCCTAAGCGGCCTCCCAGACTCCAGTGCTGTCGGCCCGGGGCCCTTCCGCCACCCAGGGCCCGAGCGATCTGCCGTACACACACACTGGCTGGACTTCCTCCTGGGGCTCGTATAGTCAGTCCCCTGTGCTTCTCTCTCTCATGTCTACCCACCACTTTTTTTCCCCCAACCATCCACTTATCTCAGCTCCTTGAGGGATGGATTGTTTCCATACTCGACATTTTTGCTTTCCCACATCCTAGCGAAGCTCTCGGCCAATCAGCCGGACCTGGCGCTGCCGCGTATTTCCGCTCCCAAGTGCTTCCGGGTCCCACGTGTTTCCGGGTTCCTTGCACTTCCGGGAAGCCTGGCAGGTTGTGTGCTCTTAACTCTCTGCTTTACTTCTCCTTCTCTGTCCCCAGCAGGTCCTGCCACCTGGGCAACCTGCTCAGATCCCTGCTTTCCTTCCCTTTAAAGAGGGCCAAGGAACACACCCACATCTGCTTTTGCTCCTTCCCCAAACAAAATCCCACCAAAACAATAGAATTTTCTTTTAAAGGTATAAACCCACAAGAATAAGGAGACCAGAAAGGAGATAATACACAACAAAAGTCTGTGGGTTGAGGGAAGATGGAGCCAATGGAATGGAGACAGGCCAACCTTCCAGCCTTGGGCACCTCAGAGCTGACCTGATTGTTACTGCCAGGATCTCCAAAGTCTTGGGAACCTGTGGGGAGATGCGTGAGGGCTCAATGAAGGTAGTTTGGTTGGAAATCTGAGAAACAGAGTCCCAGGTCCCTGTACTCTGAACAGCTAGAGGTGTAGGACTTCTGAGCAGTGTATATTGGGACTGTCCAGGAAAAGGGTTCATGAAACAACATTTTCTAAATATATCCTCAAAATACTTTTTTTTCCACCTTTTAATTCTTGAGGAACATGGTTTGGGCAATGCTGCTAAAACTTTTTAGTGGCTGGGAGCACATCTCAGAGGTTAGTTGGAATCACCATCTGAGCAACCTTTTCACTCAGGTCAATTATGTCTAATGATTGATTTATTCATTCATCAAATGTTTGTTAGATACCCACTATGTGCCAGGGTGGGCATGCTGTAGAAACAAAGGTGAGCAACACACTTCCTTCCCTCAGGTTGACCTCCTGGTGGAGTAGTGACTGCCTGTCCCTGTGTGGCTCCATTTAGGTCACAGAAGGATTCAGCCCTGTTCCCTCCTGTCTCCAGAGCCACCTTCCTCTAGAATATTCAGGGAAAGTCACAGGCTGCCCACCAACCCAGGACTCTGCCATCACAGGGCTGGTGTGTGTTTTATAGTCTTGCACTCTGGATTTGAGGTAATACAAGGTTTCCAAGCAAGGGCCACTTGGATTTGAATATCAATTATTGTTAGGCCAGGAGTCAGCAAGCTTTTTTTGGAAAGGGCCAAATAGTAAATATTTTAGGCTTTGTGGGCCAAGAATGAAATCAAGGGTATTATGTATAGACTGATATAACAATAGAAAAAACAACCTTTCACAGAATTTTTATTAACAAAATTAAAAACATCATCATTATCATAATCAAGTACTTTTTTGTAATACGGGTCTACTAAAGACAAAAATGGAATTATTCTGGGGAGAGGATAACATTTTGCTTAATTGGGGTTCAAAGTTGGTGTTCCCTGTTATCAAATTGATTGCAAACGTTTCTCTGTAAAAACCATTCTTAGCTCACAGGCCTTACAAAAACAGGTGATAGATCGGATTTGGCCAGTGGACCATAGTTTGCTGAACTTGACCTAGACATTCATTAGTCATCCCTGGCCTCCCTAGCTAGCTCTATCTAGCACTGGCCTTGGCCTGTCCTCATGTTGCCCCTCTAGACCTTTCCTTTCATCTCCTCCCCACCTACCCCCCACCCCTCAGGCTGTGACTCTAGGAGCACTGTTTACTTATTATGCAGTGCATCAGATCCTGTTAGGCTAAATCTTTCCTATCTAGGCCAGTGGTTAGCAAGCTACAGCTCCCAGGCCAACCCAGCCTGCTGTCCGTGTACAGCCCGTGAACTTGGAATGTTTTTGTTTTTTGTTTTAACAGCTTATGGCAATATAACTCACATTTCATATAATCCACCCATATAAAATGTACAATTCAATGGAATTAGGCTGGACTTTTGCTTTACTCCATGTACAAAAATTAACTCAAAAGGATAAACAACCTAAATAAAAGAGCTAAAACAGAAGAAAACATAGGGATAAATCTCCATGACCTTGGATTTGGCAATAGATTCTTAGATTTGACACTGAAAGCACAAGCAACAAAAACATTTTAGATAAATTAGACATTGTGAAAATTAAAAACTTTGTGCATCAAAGGACATTATCAAGAAAGTGAAAAGACAATCTGCAGGGTGGGAGGACATGTTTGCAAATCATGTATCTGATAAGGGTTCAGTATTTAGAATATATAGAGTTCTTACAGCTCAACAATAAAAAGACAACCCAATTAAAAAATGGGCAGTGAACCTGAATAGACATTTTTCCAAACGTATACGAATGGGCAGCAAGAACATGAAAAGATGTTTTACGTCATTGTTCATTAAAAACATGCAAATCAGGCTGGTCACGGTGGCTCAGGCCTATAATCCTAGTACTTTGCGAGGCCGAGGCAGGAGGATGGCTTGAGCCCAGGAGTTCGAGGTTGCAGTGAGCTATGATGGCGCCACTGCACTCCAGCCTGGGTGACAGAGAGAGAGAGCCTGTCTCAAAAAATAAATGAAAATCAAACCACAATGAGATACCACCTCATGACCACTAAGATGGCTATAATTTCTAAAAGATGGAAAATGACAGAAGTTGGCAAGGATAGGAGAAATATTAATAGGGACCCTCATACATTGCTGGTGGGAAGGTAAAGTGGAACAGCTGCTTTGGAAAACAGTTTGGTGGTTCCTCACAATGATAAACATAGAATTACCATATGACCCAACAATTCCACTTCTAGGTGTATACCCAAGACAAACAAAACATATGTCCACACAGAAACTTGTACATGAATATTTATAGCAGCATCATTCATAATAGACAAAAAAAGTAAAAAGCAACCCAAATGTTCACTAACAGATGAATGGATAGACTAGTTGTGGTGTATGAACACAGTGGAATATTATTTGCCACAAAATGGAATGAAGTAGTAATACATGCCACTAAGTGGCTGAACCTCAAAAACATGCTAAGTGAAAGAAGCTAGCTACAAAACGTCACATGTTTTATTATTCTTTTTATATGAAATGTCCAGAATAGGCAAATCCCTAAAGATAGAAAACAGATTAGTGATTGCCAGATGGTGGGGGAAGGGAGGAATGGGGAGTGAGGATATGGAATGTTCTGGCGTGATGGAAAAGTCTCAAAGCTGGAGAAAGATGGTGGTTGCACAACATTGTGAATGTACAAAATGCCACTGAATCTTTCACTTTAAAATGGTTAGTTGTATATTATATGAATTTCTCCTCCATAAAAGAAAAACCCAGAATTCTATTAAGAATCTCACAATATTTTTGATTGTCATGTTTCTTTATTTTTTAGACACTGATTTTTTTTTGAGAGACTGGGCCAGGCATCCTATAGGAATTGTCTGTTGTTTCCTTATCTCAGTTAACTCGCTCCCCCTTCCCCTGCCCTTCTTGTAAACTGGAAATTAGATCTGAAGACTTGAGTTGGGTTAGTTGCCACTTTTGGCAAGCACACTTCTGGGCCATGCGGGGGACTGCATATTGCCTCTCGCTGGGAAGCCCGTCATATGGTTCTGCAATTTGCGATGCCAAATTGATCACTGGCTTAAGACTGGGAAAGCTTGATCTTTCCAGGGACAACGTCCTTTTCCTCTTTGCCGCTGGCAGCAATCTGGGGTGAAACTGGCAGTAGGTGAATGTCTAGTTTCCCAAAAGAAGCCTGTTTACATTTCCCCGACAGCCTTGTCACATAAATTATTACATTTCGTTTTATGAATAAAGAAATAGAATTTCAGGGAAACTCAATAATTTGCCCAAACCATGGAGAGAGATTTTGAGATTTTTCACTTGTATTGTTGTCCTTCCCTTTATTCTGCCCTTTGCACGCTGCCCAGTGCCTGCAGACAGCCTCGTGCGCAGAGGTAGCTCGCAGGGTGGACTGGTTCTACCTGCCCAAATGCAGCCAGCCCTGGCTGGCCCTGTCTCACGGTATGGTTCTTTGGAGGCTGAGGACAGAGCCGAGACCCTGAGGCCATCGGTGGCTGGGTCAGTGGCTGCCACAAGGGTGTGATGGAAGAATGTCCCTGGGCTTCCCCCGTCTCCTTCCCCTCTGCCCAAAGTCTCCTGTATCCTGCAAAAGGAGCAGACCAGATCGCCTGGAAGGGTAAAAAAAAAAAAAGAAAAAAATTCTTCCATCTGTTGAGTATTAACCTCTGAACCATTTAACCAAACATTGGCTTCTCCTGTCATTTGATAAGGTGTATCCAGCAAAGGGAGATGAGAAAATTGGGAGGTTATTCTTTTAAATTACATCAGCGGGGGGTTTGTTCCTGCCGCAGAGCTCGGAGGGTCCCGTCTGGGACATCACATCACCACCAGCACACTCAAGGACAGACTTGAGTGCTTTCCTCTGCCTGGGAGTTCAGGCATTCACAGGGATATAAAAAAAAAAGCAAGAAGGATTTAAAAATAAAGTCCATGCACGGCAGGCTGTCTGCCCTGAGCCAGCGCTGCAGTGAAGGGTGATTATGGAGGAAGGCATGGTTTGTGTCACCGTCACACGGAAATGTCCGACGGCTTTTCTGCAGAGACAACACCTCTCAGTCTTCCACAGACTCTGTGCGCAGACTTCCGGAGCTGTCGGGGACCTCCAAGGCCATCCTGCCCACCCTAGCCCCCCTTTGAGTCGAGCCTTTTGGCAGGATGGGCCAGCAAGCAGTCTAGACAGATAGGGACCGCCAGGGCTGGCCAGTTGGCTTCTGCTGGCAGATCGGACCTGTGTTGAGGCCATCAGGCCCAGGACAGAGGGCAGGAGCCCAGGCTGTGGCCCTGTCTCTGGTGCAGCCCCGCTCCTGTTCATCTTCTGATCTCAATTGAGAGGAGCAGGTTATCTCCCTGGCCTTAGTTCCTTTCTTGAATCAGTCCCTTCTCTCTGGGACTCAGTTTCCCCACAGGTCAAAGGAGCTGGATGTTTGTTCATAGGATAGGAGGAAGGAAATACCCATTCATTCTCTGGTTTCCCCAGTGACTCTCAGCCGTTTGTCAGACGTCTTTGTCTCACTGAAGCTTCATTCCTTTTCCTGGCCAGAGCCAGGGAGGCCCTGCCTGCCTTCTACCCCGGACTTGCTGATCTTCTGTCTCTCATGTATCACTTCTTCCCCAGTGGGGGCAAGAGAACAGCAGCCCCCTCTCCCTGGGTACTGACTGAGCTCCAGGCCTGGGGCTGGGCTCTTCCACATATATTAGCTCATTTAATCTTCACAGCAGCTCAGAGTTGTGGATGAGTCCAGTTCAGACGAGGAAACTGAGGCTCAGAAAGTGTGGCTTGGCTAAGCTTCCACACTAGGAAGAGGTGGAGCCACGATTCAGACCAGGTCTGTTTGACCCTAATAGCCAGATTCTTCCCACTGTACCAAATAACACCTTCCTGGGAGTTAGCCCTCTGCTCTTCCTGGGCAGGATTCTTTCCCAGATGAGACTTCAGGGGACAAAGGACACAGAGCGACAGAGAGGCGAAGCATGGGCTCTTGCTCCAAAGATCTAGCTCCTTGGGCAGACAGGGGAAGAGGAAGGGAAGTACTCAAGTGTCAGAAACTGGTCAGGACGTGGCAATAATTAGCTTGAGCTCTGGGCTCCAGTGCGTGTGACTTCACACCTAGTCCAGTCCCCATCTCAGGTGATGCTCAGTGTTGCTGATCGGCCTGGCTCACCAGAGAGGGCTCTAGAGTGAGTCCCACACAACAGCTCTGATGACGGGATGCAAGGCGCCATCATTTCCAACACAGAGTAGTAGTTGTGTGACCTTGGACAAGTTCCTTCCACTCTCAGAGCCTTGCTTTCCTCATCTGTATAATGGGCATAAGATTACCTGCCCACCTCAACAGGTTATGGTGGACAACAATATTGAAAAGACTTTGGTGGCTCTGTTGTTAAAAATATCGGTCCCCAACCCCTGGACAGCCCATTAGAGCATACAGAGTATTTCCACACTTTGTATTCTTTAACTCTCCCAACAGACCTTTCAGAAGGCAGGGTTTGGCTCTTGTTCACAGATGTGGAAACTGAGGCTGATCTTTTCTGGCTTCCAGCTTGCTGGGGGGTTAAGGTGTTTTCCGGAGGCCTCTGCCAACAGCTCTCTGTCTTCTTGTCATTTGGAGAGAGCAGGCCTGGAAGGGCAGCCTAGCAGCCAGCTGCAGCCCAGATGTGGAGGCCTGGCTGGCCGCACAGGAGGTGGGTGGGTGGGAACATCCTTTCCTTTCCTTCTCGAAGACAAATGGTTCAGGGGCCACTGAAGGCCCCGCAGGCTGCGGCTGGATTAGGAGGCTCCGGGCCATGGGAGATGTCCTTGTCTGGACAGCAATTCCTACCTTGTGAGGCAGGTGCTGGGAGGGTGGATTCAGTAGACAGGGTGCTCCCTCCCATTGCCCTCCCCTGCGACTTTGTAAGTAATTTTGTTTAGGCCCTGGATGCTGAGAGCCATCAGCCTGGTCTGAGCAAAGGCAGGGTACTAAAAAGGGAGCCACTTTGGCCAACCTTTTGTTGGTTTGGCCAATGTTTTGTGTTTTTTTTTTTGAGACAGAGTCTCGCTTTGTCGCCCAGGCTAGAGTGAGTGCCGTGGTGTCAGCCTAGCTCACAGCAACCTCAAACTCCTGGGCTCAAGCGATCCTGCTGCCTCAGCCTCCTGAGTAGCTGGGACTACAGGCATGAGCCACCATGCCTGGCTAATTTTTTCTATATATATTAGTTGGCCAATTAATTTCTTTGTATTTATAGTAGAGACGGGGTCTCGCTGTTGCTCAGGCTGGTTTCGAACTCCTGACCTTGAGCCATCCACCCGCCTCGGCCTCCCAGAGTGCTAGGATTACAGGCGTGAGCCACCACACCCGGCTGTGGCCAATGTTTTGAAACCTCTCCTCTGGCCATGGGATGAGCAGATACACACAAACACAGCAAACACACAACACAACACCCACAGGCCCATACATGTGTGTACACACAGGCACACACATCCACGTGTACACACTCATGCACATCCATGCACACCTCCAAGGAGCAGCCGTGAGTTCCCCAAGCTCAGGGCTCCCTTAAACCCCTCAGGAGAGGAGGGAAGGAAGCTGGGAGCCGTATATCATTCCTCTCCAAACACGCAGTGTCCTCTCTGCCCAAAGCAGCGGGCGGGTGGGGGTGGCCTGCAGCCGTGAGCCAGTCTCGGGAAGGAGCCCCTCTGGCCCATATTTCACAGACACCCCAGACGGAGCCCACTGTCAGGAGGGCTGTCTAATTTCCTCCCCTGACTGCCGGCCGGATCCCCCCAACAAAGAGGGGCATTGTGTCCTCCTCCCCACCGCTGGCATCTGCTCCACAGAGATCTGTCGGGGGACATGCAGGGGATTTGAGGGATGAAGGTGCCGCATCCTGCGCCACGACCCCCAGAAGGGCCACAAATTCTGAGTAGAAAGAGCCTGGTCCTGGCTGAAGGGTCCCTTGGCCTTGTAGTCCTCGGCAGCCCCTACCCCCACCCCCCGGCAGTGGTCTCAGGGCCCCCAATAGCTTACTCAGCCCTGGTCATATCTTCTGCTCAGGCCTTTTGGGGAAGACATGGGTGAGGGGGAGTGGCCGACGATGAAAAAGTGTTTTAAGGGGACCAGGCCTCCCCACCCTCTCACAGAAGAAACACAGCCTTAGTACTTGGTCCCTGCTCCTGGAGGGGACCTTGCTGCTTGGCAGGCCACCTGCAGGGCACCTTGCCGCTGCTGGGAAGGTGTAGTTGTGCCTGGTCTTTCCTGCTTTAGATCTTTCATGGGTTGGTCATTCTGGGGAGGAAAAATGGGGTCCTGGGGAAGGTCCCCTGCCCTGGGGCAGAGCTGTGGGCTGACAGAATGAAGGGAGAGTGGGCTGGTGAGCCGTGGTGATGGGCTGAGTGCCACCATGAGACGTTCTAAGAGAGTGCAGCCCCCTGGGCCCTCCCGGGAACATCTCCAAAGAGGCTGCTCCTCCCCTCCCCTCTGGTCAAGGTCTGAGTGATGCCTTCCGAGGAGGGGGCATGTGTATGTGGGGGGGTTTGCTTTAATAGCTGAATCGCTATCACAGGGCGCGCTTAGGGGCTTCCGTGTGTGGCCATGTAGTGGAAGAGGGCAGAGGTTCTGCTCTGGGCCAGTGCATCAGCAGCAAGTCGGGACCCATCATCCTCCAAGCCCTTGGCCTTCGTCACTACCCCCGACTGCCTGCAGCTGGGCTGCGTGCTAATGCAGCGTGGTGCTTGGAAGGCACTTTGCCTGTAATTTCTGTCTATCTTTCGAACTCAAGGCAGAACAAGGTACTAACCTGCTCTGTTTTTGCACTCAGGAAGTTGGCCCGGGGAAGGTAAGCGGCTTGCTGGAAGTCCCACGGCGAGCGAGCAGGACGCAGACACTGGAACCCTGGCCACCTGCGCCTTGCCCCACGCTTTCCTTCTCACTGGTTTGTAGCCTCCCTGCAGAAGGAGAAGAAAACTCTGACTAGAATATGGGGTGTGTGTGAGAGACAGACAGACAGACAGACAGAAAGGTATGCGCTCACCCCTCACTGAGGCCCCACTCTGAGCCAGGCACCCGGCTAGGTGCCCTGCAGACCCTACTCCATTGGTCCTGGGGACACGTTGACTCTGTCCCCACTCCTCGTACCCAGGACTTAACACATAGTTGGCACTCAAGTGATACTTCTGCAGAATGAATGAGTGAATGGAATCCTCCCACTGGCCTGGAAGTACAATATGATCTGTCCTTTGTCATCGAAGTATTTTTCAACAAAAGTTTACCAAGCACCACAACGTCTATAGGCCCCCAGGTGAGGAAACCGAGGTGCAGAGAGGGTACACGACTTCTCGAAGGTCACACAGCTGGTCTGTGGCAGAACTTGTGTTGGAACTGAAGTCTGTCGTGCCTCAGGCCGGTGTGTGTGTGTGTGTGTGTGTGTGTGTGTGTGTGTGCGCGCGCGCGCGCAGGTGTGGGGGGATGGGAGCAACAGTGGGGAGGCACAGGGGAGTATGGGATTTCTCTTCCTGCGATGCAGAGAATATTAAAGGAAAATAACCCGAAGACAGCGCCGTCCCACCAGGCCATGGCCAGCTCAGACAGAGGCCTGCAGCTCTCTAGCCAGGTGTGCCGGGAGCTTTAGACAGGATTTGTGTCCCTGGAAAACTGGTTTTAAATCATTTTTTAAAACACAAATAAAACCATCCTTTCCAGCCACTGGGGAAGCCTGCAGCTAGATGGGAGGCTGCAGCAAGCTTTCTTTTGTACCATGAGGAATTCTTTCGAGCCCTTGGATTTGCCCAACTGGATTTCTGAAAGCACGGTAGGTAAATCCACCGGGCGGTGGAGAAAGCCAACCGCCCAGCTCTTGCCAAGATGAGCACAGACTCGGTGGACGCCCTTCGTGGGGGTTCCCAGACCTCGGCTGAGCCTGTTCCCTCCCCACTAACACTGGAGGTAAGCCCAGCCGTGGGCCCCAGCACTGGGGACAGGCTGGAGTCCTGAGCCAGCAGCTCCGGTTAGGAAATTAATAAAGAAAGAGAAGCTCTTGCAGCCAGGCCCATGGCGAGAGACGAGTTAGGTCATGTCTCTTTCTGTTCAACTGGCTATTAGTCCCAACCCTGATGTCACCTCCAAGCTATTAAGCGTCACCCTCAGAGACACGTGTGAACGGCTTGCAAGTCTCTTATCAGGCATGCCTCTGAGTCTTGCTGCTGACAGTGGTCAGGCCCTGGAAGCTGTTTCTTGGCCAAGCACAGGTCAAAGAGAAGCTTGTCCGACTTCAGACAGGGCTCAGGGTGTGGGTGTCCAGTCCTCCTCTTCAAGGGCATGACCCACCAGATATGGTGGTCTGAAGTCCTGACCGCATCAAGCCATCTAACCAGCCTCTGGGCCAGAGCTTCCCCCACACTCTCCATGTGTCCAGCAATGGGCACTTTGGAGGGAAGAAGGCAGGTGACACCAATAATTTAACAATTCCTTCTCTCATCCACCCACCCACCCATCCATTCATCCATCTGAGCAACCAATACTACCCATTGAGCATTTATTACGTGCCTGGCATCATGCTAGTAGCTATGAATAAAATGACCAGAGAAACACATTTCCTTCTTTTCCTTCTAGTCTAGGAAGCAGATCACACATGAACAAACAAACAAACAAATCGAAGAATTATGAAGTATGATAGTGGCCATAAAGGAACACACACACACAAGGTGGGAAGATAGAGACAAAGGGATGGTGGTGGCCACAGACGATGGTGGCCTTAGAGAAGGGCATGGATTGGAGATATTTTTGAATGTGTTTCAAAAATATTCAGGCGTTCATGGTTGACAACAAATGGGACTGAGAAGAGGCAGCCGGTGGAGGGAAGGAGCACAGTGACAGCCCAGTGTTGTGGTGGCCAAGAAAGGATGCAACTGACACGTGCCTGGTTGGTGGCTGTGAGACATTGGCTGGCACAGGCTCCCCTCCTGGCTGGACAATAATATGTAGCTCTTCCTGGAAACCATTTCCATTCAATGGAAGGAAAGAAAGCCACCTACATGGCTTTCTTATTGGAACCGTCGTGATTTGGGGATGCAGACAGGAAAGAGTACATCCGTGCCTGACACTAGTTCTTTTCTCCAAGTAGAAGAACCATCAGAAATGCATGCACCCACCCCAGGGCCTGGCCAGGCAGGTGGGCAGATTTCTGAAGACCTGAGCCCCTCCAGGCCTGTTCAATTGGAAATGGATTTTCTCCTCGCTTTATCTCTTTTATGTCCCCATCTCTCTCAGAAGGCTGGCCACACACTCGCTCGTCCCTGATGCTCTCTCAAGGATGGAGAAACCCATTACTGAAAAGTTACTGTCTGGGAATTCTCAGTTGTTTGCATTCCTACCTAGTCACCATCTCTGGTCACAGTCACTGCTTCCCATCGGGGAGTCCCCAGTGGGTGGCCTTGCTTCCCTCATGCAGCTTTGCCCTCGGGAGAAAGTGGAGGATTTTTACCAACTTGAAGAGCAGGTGGTCCCCGCTACTGCTCACCCAGCGTAGCTCCATCAAACGCCAGCGCCAACGAGGGAGAGGGGAGCGGGGAGTGTGCTTGACTAAGGTGCATGTGCCTTTAGTTTCACAATCAGGTTCTCCTCCATGGATTTATTACCTGTGTTTACGGGGGAAATTAAAATTCTCATGCCGAAAGAGATTTTTTTCTATTAGCTTTAGAAACTGGTGAACATTGTTGCCTAATGTCAGGCACTGGCCTGCTATTGAAAATTAGCTGGGCGGTATCACATGTTCAAACTGCCTGTGTGTGCATTTTGTGTGATCCTAGAACACGTAATTCCTTGGGGCTCCAGATCTGGGAGGGCATTCCAAACAGAAGGGCAGGAGCAAAGGAATGGAGGCTGGAAATCACACGGCGTGTGGCCATGAATGGCAGGTGGCTTGGTCTTCCTGGAGCACGGAGTTTGTGGCAGGGATGTGGGTTGAGGCTGCAGGGGCAGACCATGGGGATCTCCCAGGCTGTAAAGGCTCTTGGGCTTTATTTCATAGGTGATGGGAAGCCACTGATAGGTTTTAAATTGGGAGTGACAAGGTTGGATTTTTTTGTGACTACTCTAGGGGGTGAAATTTGAGCAGCCTCAGGCCAGGAAGGAGAGCAATTGGAGGCTCTAACTCAAGTGGAAGACGTTGACAGCCTGTGGTGGTGGGAAGACAATGCACTGGGCGGGAGAAATATCTATATGGGAAGTGAAATGAACAGGTAAGAGATTGCTTCTGAAAAGCAAAGAGGCAGGTTTCTAGTAGGTGTGAATGGGTGCATTGTGGTATTGCCAACTGATATAGAAGAATTGGAACACAGGCAGAACTAGCCAAAGTAGGGGGATGGAGGTTTCACTGTCAAATATTTGAGTCTGAGGTGCCTCTGGTCACTGTGAGGCACAGGGCAGTAGTGGGCAGCAGCATGTAGAACCTTGAGTTCTCAGCGCAGGGGTAGGAAGTGTTGGCCTGGGGCCGGAATGCGTGGATTCCAAATCTGGCTTCATCAGCAGAGAGGCCAGTTTTCATGAGGTTGTGCAGCCGTGACAAATGACCCCCAAAGTCCCAGTAGCTTACAACAACAAACTTTTCTATCCTCACTGGCGTATGTGAAGGCTGTGGGGTCAGCTTTGGCTTTGCGCCATGTCTCTCTCATTCTGGAACCCAAGATAACCGGGCACCCCCATCTCAGCCTTGCCCAGAGGGAAAAGCGCAATAGCACAGTCATCTGATGACTCTCAAAGCTCCCGCTCGGACAGAGCATGCGTCCCTTCTGCTCACATGCTATTGGCCAAAGCAGGTCACGTGAACGGGATGTCCCGACCACTGACTGGCTATGAAACCTTGGGGGAGGGGGCGGGTTACTCAACTTCTCTCTGCCTCGCTCACCTCATCTGTGAAGTAAGAATGACAGGACTACGTCTTAGGATTGTTAAGAGAATTCCCATAGTTCGTACACACGAAGCGCTTAGAACAGTGCCCAACACAGAGTGAACGTTATGTAGTTGTGGGGGCTTGGGGGTTCGTGTTTAATAGTTACGGAGCTTCAGCCTGGGAAGAAGAAAACGTTCTGGAGACGGACACTGGCAATGGTTGCACGACACTATAAAAGCACTTGATGCCACAAAACGACACACTTGCAAATGGTTACAGTAGTAACTTTTACGTGTAATTTATCACAATTTGAAAAATGTAGTGGATGGGATCACCTAGAAAGAAAGTGAAGAGTAGGGAAGGTGGAGGTAGAAAGAGAATATCTTGGGAACTAGGTATGAGGGCACAAGCATCGAGAAAGGAGTTTGCATGGGGGACAGAGAAGGAACATTCGAGACAGATGAGGAAAACCAGAAGAGGGTGATGTCCCTCAAAGCCACGGAGTCGAGTTTCCAGTAGGAGGGAGGGTTGGAGTGATGAGAGTGTCCCTTTTGCTTGGCTCAGAACCTGAACCTTAGCCGACAGAGCCCCCTTCCCTTTGGCACCTTGATCTTGGTGGGTCTGCTTGATTCTGCCACCTCCTCGCAATGCCACTTCCGGGCTCTGGCCACACCTGGTCCAGGTTGCTTCCATGCAAGATCCTGGCTAGGTCCCTCTCCTGGTTCCCTCCCTCCCCTCTCCCTAGCCAGTCCTGTGTTGTCCATTGTTGACATCTTGGTGAGACAAATAATTTTTTAATTAAAAAGACAGAATTTGGGATATCTTTTCTTATGTCATTTTATTACTATTGATGTATATTTTTCTACTCTTAAATAAAAACTTCTGTACTTTGAGTTTAAACATTAAGGATGGTTAGCTTATGGTCATGATTCCTTTATTGACAAAAGAGTTCATCTTTTGTTTACAGAACAGTAATTATTTGATAGGTCATAGATTAGGGAAACAGAGAGTCACACTTGTACAGTGGGCCATGAAGACAACGCATTTGCTTGGAGAAAAGGTTTTTTTTACATAATTATTACTTTTGCACCCACATTTTAAAGGATCTAAGGGAGATGCCTTGGTCTAGATGATTTCTTCTCTTTGACCTGTTGCTTTTAGACATTGTCTGGGTGATCATCAGATGAGAATCAAAAGGCTGCACACAAGAGAAGTGATTCTTAGCTCTGTAAAGAAAAAGGTCTGGGTACTTGGCTTTTTTTTCTTGATTTTATTTCTCCAAGAGTTTTCTTACAAAGTGAATTGACCTTGCACAGTTAGCTTGATGTAATCTTAAGAAAATATATGACGTATGCTTTAGAAAAATCATACATGCTCTAACCAGCCATCTCATTTGGCAATCATTTTCCATAGAGTTTGTCCTTTCTGGGGTGGGGAGGTGGGGTTATTTTTACACGTGGACGATGACATCTACATACAAGAGATCCAAACTCTTGCTAACCTCCCTCTGCAACACCAGCTGGTATGGTGGGGGGCAGCACTGGGAAGAGGGGCTGTCTCTTTCCAGGACTTCAGTTGCCCCAGGTTGTTTGGTCATCAGTCCTCAAGTGGCACCCTGGGATGACCTGGCTGAAGTCTGAGCAGTCCACACACATAACCCTAGCAGCTCCTCTCACAGTAACAGCATTTGTGGAACACATAGGAGGAGCTCAAATGCACCCTGTGGAGGAAGAGGGACTGTTTTCTTGTCCCCTTCTGTAGTCACAGGACACCACAGCTGGAGAGCTGTCCCCTCCAGGGTGCCACAGCTCTAGGGCCCCACCCAGCAGCCGTCCTATCATCTCCCACTCCCAGGATGCAGAGGCCACTTTCCAGCCCCGTGCTCAGTAATGTAAGCATCTGGAGAGGTTTTCAATCCAGAAATCGTGGATTCAAAGGAGTAGCTGCTCCTCTTCTCTGGAGCACCGCTTGACAGTCCCAGCTGTCACCCTAAATTCATTGTGAAGCAGCAGATGCCGTCCTGGGTTTACTATCATCCACCCAGTCAAGCCAGTGTGGACTGGCCATACTATATGAGGACACAGAGACCTACACAGGCTATTTTTCTGTCTTCTCCCAGTCAATGCTCCAAAATTTGCCCACTTAGCAAACAAATTTGAAGATAGGGATGGGTTCCTGACTCGCAGCAGCTGAGTGCTGACCTCGACCCTCCTCATACTGATTTTCCCTGGGGTTTGGGGATACCAAGGGGCCCAGAAGTCAGCCCAAAGAGGAAAGGTGGGCCAGGTTGTGTGTGTCTCAGTCATTTCCTTTCTTCTGGAGCATTTGCTTTCATGAGTCACCAGCTGGTTCCAAGGCTCCTCTCTCAGCAGGCCAGGTGGTGTCCAGCCCTGGAGGAAGCCTGGCTCATAGGAGGAAGGTGGTAGGAGGAGGTGTGGGTGGCAGCCAAGAGACCCTGAGAAGAAGTGTCCCTGGAGCTATTTCCAGGCTTGTCCTGTCTGGTAGGATCACTGTGTGATTCCACGAGAGTGGGGGAAGCAAAGGCCCTGGGAGGGGGCTGCTAAGACAGAGGAATGCTGGACAGAACTTTCTGGGAAACACTGGACAGCTTCATATCCAAGAGTCAATGCAAGATGTGGAGAGGCTGCCCTGGGATGAGTGGGAAGAAGGTGAGGGTGGGATTGGGGTGAAGGTAGGGGGCTCAGTCGCAGTCTTTTTTATTCTCCACGGAGAATCTCACTCTGAACTTGGAGAGGCTGTAGAGTCCCCATCCTCCGGGTCCTGCCCATGGGGGGAGATGGGCTGACCCCCCTTCACGCGCTTCCACTTCATCCTTCGGTTCTGGAACCACACTTTGACCTGAGGAAAGAAGCGAGGGAACCTGGTCATTCCAGGGCCGCTGTGACCCCCTCCCCATGTTGATGGCCAGGGTACAACTCCAGGGACCCCAGCTTGGAACCCTCACTTGCCTGTCTCCACTCCCCAAAAGGCCTGGGAACTGAGACCAAAGGGAGGACACACCAATCTGCCCAGAGGTCTGTCTTATGTCTCCATATAAGCCCCAGACAGACCTGGGAACAGGTTCTGAAAAGCATTGGCCCCACCCCGTTTCATATGCCTGGTCCCCCATGCCTACACTGCTCCCTCCAGCCTCCATTCCCTAAGGGGCTGGGAGCCTCATCCTTTGGCACAATTATCACACGCTTTTTAGTTTAGATAGCTCTGGTCAGCATATTTTTCTCATGTGAGCTTCAGTATTACCTGCAGGCTGGAGTTACAGCCCTATTTTACAGATGGAGACCCGGAGGGCCCAGGGCTAGGAAGTGGTAGAGGCAAGATTTGAATCTAAGTCTTCTGATTCAAAACACAGCAAGCACTCTGGCAGAGTGCTCTATCAACCAATGAGGCTATCAAATATTATTGTTATTATTAGTACTTTTATTTCACATCAGAGCATGCATGTGGGCAGAATGCACTGAGGAAAAGCCCAAAACAAAGGACCAGGGCAGTTTTTCTCAAAGTGTGCCCAGGAACCAGCTGTAAATCCAAATCATCTGACGAATTCATGAGAAATGCAGATTCCTAGTCCTACCTATTATTACTGCAAAATCACTCTCCTGGAACTCCGAAACCTGCATTTTGAACAGTGGCTCAGTGATTCCAACACACTCCAGTTTGGGAATAACCACAACAAAGGTTCCAACCCCAGCTGCAATGAGAATCACCTAGGGCAGTGGTCCCCAACCTTTTTGGCACCAGGGACCGTTTTCACAGAAGACAATTTTTCCATGGAGCAGGGAGGGGGGATGGTTCCGGGATGATTCAAGCGCATTACATTTATTGTGCACTTTATTTCTATTATTATTACATTGTAATATGTAATGAAATAGTTTTCTGGCTCACCATAGGTTGGGGACCCCCTTACTTAGGGGACCTGTGAAAAATTCTGATGCGAGGATCCCATCCCAGGCCAATTAAAACCATGTCTAGGGGTGGAGCCCAGACATCGGTGTTATTCAGACCTCCCCAGGAGCTTCTCAGGTGCAGCCACAGTTGGGAACCACTGGACTCGGTGGAGGAAGAAGAAAAGGGAGAGGGTCCAGGGAGGGGTGGTGGGAAAGCAGAGCAGAGGAGAGATGGACGGCCGCACCTGCCGCTCGGAGAGGTCCAGGTTTACGGCGATCTCGTATCTGCGGAGCCGGGTCAGGTAGTTGTGGTGAGCGAACTCGGCCTCCAGCTCCCGCAGCTGCTCCTTGGTGAAGGCCGTCCTCTCCTTGCGGGCCTTGCTGCCGCCCTCCGGCTTCCCTCCGTTCTCCTGGTTGTCTGCGGAGAGAGGGCCCCACCCAGGAAGGCATGGGCTGAAGGAGCCTTGGTTCCCTTTCTTTCGTCCAGAAGCAACCAGGCAGCCCTTCCCAGTCGCTCTCACTTTAAGGGGTGCTGAGAAAGAAGCTACACTGTACCCTCATTCCTTCCAGTGTCCTACCCTTCTAAGAACTGGGAAGGTTTCTTGGCTCCCAATCTCAGGTACTTCCCCCCAACTTTCTTTTATTCCCAAAGCTGCTCTTGGCTGTCTAATGGTTTCTACCCCTGAGCATGACGTTAAAGTGGCCACGAGCTTGTGGGTGAGATGTCCCAAGACAAATTCTGAAAGTATGGTCCGCCACCCACAGCATCAGCATCACCCGAGAACTTGTTAGAACTGCAAATCTCTGGGCTTCACCCCAGACCTATTAAATCACAAACTCTAGGGATGGGGCTCAGCAATCTGTTTTAACAAGCCTTCCAGATGATTCTGGAGCACAGTCAAGTTTACAAACCACTGCTCGAAGACCTCACTACTCAAATGGTGCCCAGGTGCCAGCAGCCTCAGTGTCACCAGGGAGCCTGTTCAGACGAGCAGGATCTCAGGCCCTGCCCCAGAGGGCCAAGTCTGGAAAGCCACCCAGACCCCTGTGAAGGAGGCTCCGTCCCAGACAGCAGGGGCTCAGTCATAACTGCCAGCGGGGTCAGGGGAACAGACCACGCACCTGACGTGTATTAGCCTCTTAATCCCCACAATAGCCCAACCAGGTGGTTCTAGTATTAGCCCCGTCTTATAGACCAGAAAACTAACACACAAAAGTTCAGTAAATTGTCCAAGTTCATCAGCCTGTGAGTGGTGGAGGCAGGAATCAAACTCAGGCTGTTTGACTCACATACTGTTCGAATGAAATAATTCTAGGAAAGGCTTACAAACTGTAAAGTACTGTACAAATATAATAATCATTATAATGTATCGTTATCTCTTGAGCAGAGTAAGAGGCTGTTCTGCCTTCACTTTAATTAAGAGTTCATGGACCGAGACAACACACCTGAACAATTAACTGAACAATCAACTAACAACACGAGCCACGTGGCCAGTGAAAGGCTACAAGAGCCACTGTGCAGGGCTCCAGCACTTAGAAGTCTGTCAGTCGCTTGTCCTTTTGCAGATGTGGAGCCTGTGGTTCTTAGTGAGGCGCTTTCCCGAAAGCTGCGCCCATCCTGTCCTCTCTGGAAGACCCCAGCCTCACCCTGCGGGCGGGCGGGGAGCAGTCCTCTGTTCTCAGAGGCCGGGTCTAAACTGGACCGGAGGGCTGGGCGGAGGGTTCAGGCCCGTGGTGTGAGGCAGAGAAGCCGCCCGCGCGGTCAGCTCAATAGACAAGTTGCGGCGCGGGGTGGGGAGGCCGCGATCCGACTTGGAAGTTTGGGCCTGGCTGGTTCCCCGCTCCAGCCCTTTGCATCTCCGCTTCCCCGTCCTCCGCCCCCACGGCCCCAAGCGGGGACGACGGGCTGGGGGCTGCGAGGCGAGTGGCCGCCGCGACCCGGGAACCCAAGGTGCTTGGCGCAGCCCGGTGCCCGGGTCGGGGGCGGGTCGCGGCGCCCGGGCCCGGACTGGCCGCCCGCGGCGCGCGCCCGGGAGCAGGGCAGGGGCGAGTCCCCGGCGAGGGCTGCCTGCCCGGCGGCCCCTGGCTCCGGGCCGGGAAGGCAGGCCCAGACCCCTCCGGAAGCGGGAGCGTGGGCCGGCGGGAAGGACGCGCAGCCCGGGCCAGGGTCCCCGAGGAGCCCTCCGGCCTTGGCCGCCGCCAGCGCCGCGCCCCCTCCTGGCGGCGGGCCCCGCGGGCCGAGTGAGCAGGAAATCCGGGCCGAGGCTCCTAACCGCCTCCTGTCCCAGGGCTCGGGTTGCCAGCCCTTACTGTTCGCGGCTGCCGGGAGCGGACAGCCCAGAGACTCGCGCTTAAACCTGGATCCCGAATCTGCTTGCTGGAGACTAAGGGAAAGTCACTTCGCCTTTCTGGGCTTCACTCTCCTCATCGAGAAATTGGGGAAAATAAAGCACCTACTTCCCAGGGTTCTTGGGAATACTGGGCCATCTAATGTGTGTGGAAATGCTTTTAAAACCCAAAAGTGCTAGACAAATATAAGGTATTCTCCAATTCTTCAACTCCACCAGATGCTGTCTGGAGGGCTGGATGGCAACAGCTGGCACTTGAAGGCTTCTGTGTGCTTAGACGCATCCATTTCTTTAATCCTCACCACACAGCTCAGCCACGAGTAGATACTACTATTATCCCCTTTAGGACTGTTATGTGGATTTGTGTGATAATTTGATGAATAGCTCTTTCCCCAGGGAGGTGATTGTTTTTCTTACTGGTGCATCTAGCTGGTAGCTGCTTCTGTACCTGGCACAAAGTGAGAACTTGCTAAATATTTGCTAAACCATCCTTTATACAGAGGAAGCAGCCTCAGACAGGCCCGAGAACTTGCTCCGTGTGCCTAGGTAGCCTTTAGGCAGCAGGAGGGAGATTTGAACCCAGATCCATCTGACTAGAGTACAGGCTCTCGACTTTGGTGTCAGATTCTCTATCTTCTGGCTGGCCGGCTAGGGTGGGGGCTGGAGCTGGACTGTTGCAGCTCTACTTACATCCAGTGTTCCTGGTGGCACTGCCCTGGGTTGCTGCCTATACCCATCCTCATCTTCTCCCAGGCCTGGGTAGGTTTGCACAGGTGCCCCATGGTGTCCCCCAAAACAACTCCCCACCCTAAGTCCTGCACATAATCCTCCCTAGAGAGAAGAGCAGGAAAGGACCCCTTTGGAGCTGGTCTTGGACTGGCCACTGCCCACCAAGCTATGCCCCCTTCCTATCCACCTCTCTTCTCCCATCTCTTGCTGTCCAGACTTTGGCTCTGGGACTTCAGTGCCTATTTCCAGAAGAGGAAATGGGAAGAAGAAGCCTAGGTTGGGACCCGAGGGTCTCAGCTAACCCCTTGAATGACTAATGGTGGGCAGGATATTGGCTCTGGGAGGACACTTATCCCTCACCAACTTTCCCAGAGTGGGATTAGCTTTCACCATGGCTAGAAATGATAAAAGGACCAACAGTATGGGAAGCGAGCTATGAAAGCTGAGGTGGAAGTTACGGGTCTGTGTTCTGCAACAGTGAAAAATGGCGACACTTTCATCAGGATAGACAAAGAGAACCCTGAGCACTTCCACACCATTTCTGGCCGGGGGGCTCAGTTCCTGAGCATACTACCACATGAAAGTAACTCGTGTGCCCCAACACGGTTGATCCCAGGAGAGTGCATCTTTGGGAAGCCTCTGTCTCCTCTCTGGGCCTCAGTTTCCCCATGTGTAGAAGTTTGGGATTGGTCCCGGGGAGCTGGTGTCAGTTCTTTCCCACTACATAAGCCCCGATACCTCCTCTCCCTGTTCCCTCTTCTGCTGAGAACACCCGACCTTGATGAACTCTGAGGTCCTCCCAACTTCAAATATTCTTGTCCTGGCTCCTTGTCCCTCTCTTCTGCCTCATCCATGTTCTCGCTGTGTGCTCTGTCCCAAAGCCCTCCCCAGCTTCCCACGGCCTAGAGATCAGGGTGGTGCCAGGCATTTCTCCCTCCCTGCACGGAGCTGAGTGGAGGGGACTTTTATTTGCAGAGGTGTCTGGGACCTGGAGGTGCTGGCTTAAGGGATGCGCCTTCTCACCTGGGGCAAGTCCCTTAAGTTCTCTGAGCCTCAGTTTCTTCCTTTTTATATACTTGCTGTGCCCGTAAGGTTGTTGAAAAGGTAAAAGGAGACAAGTGGCGTGTTAACACCTAGCACAGTGCCAGGTATGGATCTGAGACTCTGTTTGCAGGAACTGTCAGAAGAGGGTCTGTTGGAGATGGTGTCATGGCGGAGCTTAAACATGAGGCTCCTTAATGATCCAGACCGTGTGAAATGTCTGACTTTTGGCTATTTTCCCTTCTGCACTTCTCTTCCACATCTCTTCATGGACCTGTGTCTCTGGCCACTATCAGCCACTATTGCTTCAGCCTTCCAGGGGGTCCATGATTCTGGACACAGTCAGTAGATGTGATCAGAATGACAATCCAGTTGTCCTCCTGGTCCCGTTCCTCTCTCAGGGACAGTGGGGCCTCTTCTAGAACTCCCAAGGGAGGATGCTAGCACTCAGCTGGCTGCCCTGTGGTTAAGGGTGAGCCACCCGCCCCAGGCCCTGCACGACCCTCAGCTGGAGCAGGGCTGTGGGCGAACAGGACGGTGCCCAGAGAAATGCAAACAGGATGTGTGTGTGATTGTGGTTTCCACCACAAGCTTTTATACCATCCAAGGCAAATTGTTTCACAAATAGCTGTCACATTTGGCAGGCCTTCCTAAAGTTAGCAGACAGCTTTATCAGAGCCACGGGGAGGTTCAGACAGACCCAGAGGAACATGCCTTTTAGAGTCCTGTACTCTATACTTCCCAGCTCTTGCAGCACCATTTTACATAACTTTCTGTCCCAGACCAGATAGAAAGCCCTGTGCCCCATATGAAAATAGTACTTTGCAGTTGACAATGGATTTCTTTCACCCAGAGATCAACTTTTCCTGGATTTGTATATACTACAGAATCGTAGACAGTAGAGCTTGGAGAGATGCAGAGATGATCTAATGTCACCATGTCATTTTAAGTTGAGCCTAAACAAGGTAAGGATACACAACAAGTTAGTAGCAGAATTGGACCTAGAACCCACATTTCCATGATAGGAAACTATTGCCACACTATTAGGCTGCTTGCTAGTACATCCTCTTAATGTTCTGTGAGATTTAATTAATCGATGAATTAATTAATGTGTAAGGTACACATTAACCCATCAAACAGATGAGGAAATTAAGACCCAGAGACTAAATTGCCCAAGGCCCCTGGGACCAGTCTAGGCCTATAGCCACATGTCACACTGCTCTGGGGGGTTGATGAGCATGGAGGTGGTGCCCCTTCCAGGGACAGTGTCTGGGTCCAGATGTGTCTCCCAGAGAAGGGA